TGCATGACCTTTTGGCGTATGGGATATTCTACGGCTGGTGTGTTCACGGGAAGTTCTCATGCCCAATATGCAAGGCGTCTTTGATGTTCATTTGGTTGACGAAGGGTGGCAAGTATTCTTCGTTCGACAAACATCGATAATTCCTCCCTCTTGACCATCCATTCAGATGAGACATCAAGAACTTTATGAAAGATGTAGTAGTTGAAGGCCCTGCACCCCAGATGATGATTGGTGCCGCGGTTCGTGCTCAGTTAGACGCTCTCGAGGTCAATGACCAAGGAGATTGTTTTCTGGGATATGGTGAGGAACATGCATGGACTCACAAGTCATGCTTGTGGAACCCCCCTATTTTGATGACCTTCTACTTCCACATAACATTGATGTAATGCACACTGAAAAGAATATCGCCGAGTCAATTTTTGGTACAATCATGGACATTCCTGATAAGACAAAGGATAATGTTAAGGCTAGAGTGGATCAGGCGAGGTTATGCAATAGACCAAAGCTAGACATGGCACCTCCTGAAGGCGGGAAGTCATGGAGAAAGCCTAAGGCCAATTTTGTTCTGACGAGGGCCCAAAGGAAGGAAGTACTAGAATGGTTCCAAACGTTAATGTTCCCTAATGGGTATGCAGTGAATCTGAAGAGGGGAGTGAACTTAGCTACTTTGCGAATCAACGGGCTCAAGAGTCATGACTACCACATATGGCTTGAGCGGCTACTGTCGGTGATGGTTCGAGGCTATGTCCCTGAGCATGTCTGGATAGTGCTGGCGGAGTTGAGCAATTTCTTCCGCTAGCTTTGTGCTAAGGAGTTATCTCGTACCGTGGTTGCAGACATGGAAACAATGGCGCCTGTGTTGCTCTGTAAGTTAGAGAAGATCTTTCCACCTGGCTTCTTCAATCCGATGCAGCATTTGATTTTGCACCTCCTATATGAGGCACGAATGGGGGGGGCCTGTGCAGGGCCGTTGGTGCTATTCAATTGAGAGATTTCAAAAGGTTCTTCGAACTAAATGTAAAAATAAATGCAAAATTGAAGCATCCATAGCAGAGGCATACATTCTGGAGGAGGTATCAAACTTCACAACAAAATACTATGCTGACAACCTTCCTAGCGTGCATAATCCACCCCCTCGTTACAATGATGGCGAAGATGAATCGAACCTTAGCATTTTTCGAGGGCAACTAGGAAGTGCGAGTGGTGCGACTAACAAGACCTTGAAACATGAAGAGTGGTGCACTATTATGCTATATGTGTTGACCAACCTATCCGAAGTGGAGCCATACATGCTGTAAGTTCTCAACAAACTTTTTCTCAAGTAGTCACAATTCTGTGTCCAACTATCTTATTATGACGTTGGTACAGGGAATTTCATGAACGATTCTGGCGTGAATCAAGGGAACCTACCCCGCAGGAAACTTCAACCCTTCTTAAAGAGGGTGCGGGAAATGGAATGCTCAATTTCATTTCTTGGTTCAAACAGAAGGTGTTGTCCATTTTGGCTCGTACTTAGTTTGACATTACAAGTTGCTCGTACATGCGACTAATATAACTAACTACCCTGCTTGAACTTGTAGGGACAAACCGATGCGTCTATGAGTGCCGAGTTGAGACATGTTGCCGATGGTTGTGCCTATAGGGTCAGGTCATTTACCGGTTATGATGTGAATGGATATCGCTTTCACACAACAAGCCACGAGCAGAGTCGGCCTAATCGAAGAATCACAAATACCAGAGTTTTTACGCAAGGCTTAGATGGGGTTGAGTATTACGGAAGAATTGAAGAAATATACGAACTCATGTTTCATGGTTGCAAACCTCTTAATCCTGTTATATTCAAATGCCATTGGTTTGATCCTGAAGTAGTGAGGCGGACCCCTAATCTTGGGCTAGTTGAAATTCGACAATCATCCGTCTTACCAAGAGATGATGTCTATATTGTGGCTCAACAGGCAAAGCAAGTTTATTATCTCTCATACCCGTGCCAAACTATAGACCGTCTTAAGGGTTGGGATGTTGTGTACAAGGTATCGCCACACGGTAAACTACCTGTCCCAAACAATCAAGATTACAACATAGACCCCAACACATATGACGGAGAGTTCTTTCAAGAAGATGGGCTCGAAGGGAGTTTTGAGATAGACTTAACCGAAGCTCAGGGTATGGAAGTAGACAATGAAAGTGGTGCTGACGAGGACGCCGGAGACGAGGTTCAGAATGTGAAGGACTTAGAATTACTTCAGCGATTACATCTAAGCAACGACGGTGATGACAACATTCCTCCTTCGAAGCACGGGGATGATAATATCGACATGCGTGATAGTGATGATGAGACCTATGATCCAGCTAATCCTGATGATGATGATTATTTCTAATACATGTATGATCCATGCTAATTGATTTATTATTTGTCATACCATGTTATTTTCTAAGTATGTTTTGTTTATTTTGCATCTATTTTGATGTATTATCTGTGCTAATTGGTTTACTCTTTTTAATTGTAGGTGATTGAACAACGGTGGGCGGTATGAGGAGGATAACGTCGCTTTACTCAAAAGCGACTGTGACGAGTAAAGGGTCCGATGCAGCTGAGGGGTCTGAGAAGAGACCTTAGGGTAGACCCAAGGGTCAAGGGTAGGGTGGAGGCAAGACGAGGCCACCGTCGCCTGTACCTTCGTTGTCGTCTGAGTTACCTTCCGCTCACTCATCCTCTAAGGAGGAGGAGGCAGGGGTGGAGGAGGAGGCAGGGGTGGAGGTGGAGGCAGGGGGGTACCTCTTCCTCTACTTCGTCGCGTGTGTGGTTGCGAGGTCCCTCGACTCTCCCAAGGCGATCGATACCTCTTGAGAGACGCCCGCTGATTCGACCCGATGGAGAAAAGTAAGTAACTTTATATGTTATCACTAATTTTTCGTTTGATATGTTCAAAATTATAATAGAAACTAATAATTTATCTTAATCACTTGGGCAGGAGTTGGAGGAAGGTCGGTGGGGGTGATCACGCATGCCATGTGAATGGCGTCCTTGGTCTTTTGATCAAGGAAAAGTTCCTTGGCCTTGTGCAGTTTGGCGAAACTGTCGAGCCGGCCTACACGTGGGCCCACTATGACGTCGTCCCTGACACCACTGATCGGGATGGCAGGTGTTTCGCTGACAAGGCGCAACGTGTCAAGGCCAAGCTTTGGGTAAGTCTTTCTCGCACTACATTGCTCAATACATCGCATTGATTGGACATTCTTGAAATAATGACTGGATACATCGCGTCTATATGCAGCATTTCTTTAGATGCGAGGAGGGATACAAGGCCAAGGCGGATGCTGTGGCTAACAAAGCCACCAAAAACTCATCAAGGACATGCACTACGAGGTGCGCATCTAGGCCGTGATCCAATACCACGCGGAATTTCTTAGAGAGAGGATCCCAAAAAGGGCGGCAAGAACCATGAGCCTGACCTCGGAACAATACCTGAAGGTAAATATAGAACTTTAATACTTATTTTTTCTAAGATTAATTACGCTTAATTTCATCTTCTTATATGTCATATACTTGATGACGTAGGTGCCTCCGTGGTGGTGCGCCTACGATCTGCAGTGCTGGGCCCGGATGGTGGACAGGTGGTGCGACCCCGCGTGGGAGGAGAATCACAATGCTTGCCGGGAGCGGCGTTTGCTGATGCCGGGTGCACCACACCATCAAGGCAACCTCAACCTCTGAGAATGCGCGGTTAGATGGGTACACGAATTCATTTATTTATTCTAACGCTCAACTCTGCATAATTTCTAATCATATTGCTTTTTTTTGCAGTCGGCGTCACATGGTGGTGAGCCTTGCTCCCAATTCGTGGCATATGCTTTGGCCCACAAGGGGAAGGCAACGTCTGACGTCGCCTACAACCCGGAGGACCCGCCCTCGGCGTACAACAACGAGTCCGTCCACAGCCGTCTCGATGGATACACATCGATGACAAGGTAGGTCCATAGTCTAGAGTACAATCCGAGCGCCCAAGACCTTGATGGAGAAGTGGTCATGAGGGCGGGAGGAGGCTAGAAGCATGGCTGGTTCAGGATTGGCGATGGCACCATCGACACGGCCAGTACTCCCACTCTCTACCAGATTCGAGCACGGAGCATGGGTTCTAGTCCGGCGATACGCCCATGGCCGGACTCTACACGGTTCCAGATGAACACACTCTAGATTATTTCTATTTTATTCATCGTTCATTGATTTTTACATACTTTTGCATTGCATTGTAACATTGGGTTGAATTATTGTAGGCTCAGCTAGAACAAGAAACGAGGCGCCTAGAGGAGCTAGAGGCGAAGATGGAGGCAGAGCGGTAGAGGATGGAGGCAGAGGATGGAGGCAGAGAGGCAGAGGATGGAGCTGCAGATGTTTAAATATATGAGGGGTGTTTATGCTGCGATCGGTCAACCTCCACCACCATTTCCAGTCCCTCCTCCTCAACCTGCTTCAAATACTATTTCAGGCACTGTGAGTCGCTTTACAACCTTATAATCTAGTTTATGCATAATTAATCTTACAAAAATGCTAAGACACTAGAAACTTAGTGACTAATGCTATATGTTTGTTATCAACTAGTTCTATATACTGCAACGAGTTCTATATACTTCTAGCGAACTGAACCTCTGCAGATAAATCAATCCTTCACAACCTAACGTAGCGTAGTATTGACCAACATTACACATGTAGTGTCGCCCAGATTCGTCCAATGATCTGAAACCAGGTTGTCTTGCTTTCCACTCCATGTCCACTGATCCTGCTCTCGGCCACCAGGCCTGAGTCTTTTCTTCTCTTTATTGATCCTCTGCATTCATTACCAGAAATTACTGTTTTCACCTTCCCTAGTAATTCAGTAACAGAACCGCAACCATGGCATAAAACCACCGTCATCAGACCTCATGTATGTCATTATTTGATTATTCAATCTGATTCCAAATTCCGTCGCGGTGTCTTGACCATTGTAATGCTTAGACAGTCATCATCCAGAGCTGTTGCTTTCTTTCGATGACAAGCTATCAAGCACATCACTTCCTCTGTAGTTCGTCACACCAGGATCAGGGCTAAACCACTGCTGATTGTTCACAGCACTTGATGATGTTGATGTTGTTTTGTCAGCAGCAGCGCCCCAGACATCAAAATCTGTATTTTCCAGGAGACCCTCAGAGGCGATCCTTGCATCTCGGAATGGTCCAATGCATTTTCCCTTTGCAAACTTAATGCAAGCCTCCTTTGCTGCCTCAAGACAAGCAGCCATCTCTCGCTCTTCACATCTCTCTCTTTCTTCATAGTCAGTCGGGGAAGCTACAAATAAGCCTTTCCACCAGGGAGGCTTGCATTTGCGTGATGCGCTGATTGAGCACCCTGTTCGTGCACCAGCCTGCAAAGATGTGGATCAGCATCTTGTTATTGCATTTCAGGCGGGAAAAGGAACCTTATGAAACAGAATCTAGTACTATGTACAATACACAAATGCATGTGTCAAATGTGAATGGTATATGCAATGCAAATGAAATATGGCAAGCTCAGTCTTTCAGGTCTGCAGGAAGTAACATAACAAGAAATACAGTCTGATCTTTGGAAAGGAGCTGAAAAGATGCAGAAACAAATCGAGCAAGAACCAGCGAAAAACCCAAAATCATGGTTCAAACCAGACCAGTTCGGTGTGCATATCGGACATGTCCGATATGCCATATTCCAAGCCAGCATAACTAGATTTGGGAGAAATTGAATTTACTTCTGAGATCATTTATTGGCATGCATAGCTCTTAGAAAAAAGCAACAGTAAGCCATGAAATTTGACAAACTTTCCTTGCTGCTCTTCATAAGGCCACATCAAATTTGACAAACCAACTAGGTAACACGATCATTTTTTTTAGAAAAAGGCTAAAAGATAGCTAAATCCCATACAACGAGTTCTTTTTTCTCGAACACGCAGGACAGCTACGTATCATTATAATCATTCTATTAAGAGAACATACAATGAGTTGTGACTGCAATTATGTTTCCCATGTCAGTCACAAATTCTTGGTTTAGCCTTGATGTTATATTAGATGACTATCAATACGAGAAGCGGGTTTGCCATGTGTACTGTGGAGCAGTTGTCAACCACAACAACTAAAGCTAAGTAGCCATGAGCTGGTTTGCCCTCTTTAATGTATGCAGCTGTTTTACTTACTGACTGGCAGAACTTGAGCCAGGCAACTCGGCCAGCTGCAATGACAAATAAATAAATCCCTTGCACTTAGGAGATAACAAGGGGGGGAAAGGAAAATAAACTCCTCTGCCTCAGTGGTGAAACCAATGATGAATCGCATTTCAGACAAAACAGTAGTGAACATAGGTTTTCACTTGAGAAAATAATTGAGAAGATAAACTGGATAATAATAGAAAACTGAGAAGATATTGCTGATACGTGTTGTTTAATCTTGTCTCACACATGCAATCTCTTCTTCTTTGTGCAGCATCAATCGGCGGCATCGAATGAGCCTCATGACCCAGCCCTGTCGCAGTGGAACTCGTGGCCTAAGTGACTACTTGTGATTTTATTTGTATTTGCATTTGTGGATTACCTGTGACTACTTATGGTTGTGAATGAACCTACTTGTGATTCTGAAGTTTATTTGAATTTATGTGTTGTCGATATATTTATATGAACTGTCTATGATGCCTATTGTGAACTATCTGTGATGGATGTGATGTTTATTTGAATGTGGTACGTGGCTGTGACCGAACCTAACAAACTGATTATTTGTGGCAGCTTTGCCAAGTGTAACACTCGACAAAGAGGCCTTTTGCCGAGTGCCAGGGTTAAAACACTCGTCAAAGTGTACACATGGCAAAATTCTGTGCATTCTAGGACTAAAATGGCTTGTTTGCCGAGTGTCTGCGCTATGACACTCGACAAAGATGCCAAAATTCTGTGTCATGAGGAAGTGTTTGCCGAGTGCCTGGACTGGGACACACGGCAAAGAGGCAAAGTTTGCCGAGTGCCTATCAAAGAAGCAAAGTTTGCCGAGTGCCTGGACTGGGACACACGGCAAAGAAGCAAAATTTGCCGAGTGCCTAGAATTTAACACTCGGCAAATTAGGAATGTTTGCCGAGTGCCCGAGATTTGACACTCGGCAAACGGGCCGTGACCGTCTCCGCTCCGTCACGCTACTTTTTTTTCGCCGAGCGTCGGTTTCAGCTCTCGATAAAGTTTTTGCCGAGTGCCCGATAAAAAAACACTCGGCAAAGAGCCATTTGCCAGGACTGTAGATGCCGTGTGCTCTTTGCCGAGTGTTTTTGGGGCTTTGCCGAGTGCCTGTGACACTAGGCAAAACGACTGTTTCCGATAGTGAATATATTTATTATTTTTGTTTATTATAAGAAAAAATGGGTGATAAAAAAGAGAAGAAAGTGTCACGTAATGGTGGGAAGAGGAAACGAAGAAATAGAAAGAAACGGGAAAGGGACTGAAACAACGGACGGTTCACGGAGAAAAACTAGGACACAGTTTTTCGTATTTGATGGCAAGTCTGAGCCACTTCAGGATTTGGTTGGATGAAAATTTAGGGTGGCAAGAAATTTTGCCTCTTTAGTGTTAGGGATTAGCAGAAATGCCCGAGCCTTGCAACGGGAGAAAAAGGACTATTGAACGTTCATGGAAAACTTGACAAGAATGATACATATTTATTTATATTTTATTCTTTCTAAAAAATTTATAAATGTATAATTTATATTATGATGACCATGACATCCATAACATAAGTTAATGTTGGTAATAATATGGCAATGCTCTATTATACCCTGTATCGAATTAAAATGCATCACAAAGCACGTAGATATTTAGACGCAAATATATATCACAACATTAATTTTTATATTATCCATGTGGCGATACAGTTAGAAATCCTGCTCATTGACTTTATAGTAGAACAAAAAAAATGTGTGGTTCTAATCTCTAATTAAAATTAACAAGAATTAATTTAGCGAGCGACATGTCATGGATTTAAAAAATATATATTTTTCATTACATTCTGATCCACGTATCTAGGGACCATAGACGATCTGACCTCTGAATTAATCTCCTATTTATCTCCTTTGTTTATATTTTCGGCTAATCTTGCCACGTGAATGACGATTATACCGTTCTAGCTAATTTATGCCGAGAAGAACAGGATCCACGGCCTGATGACCTGATCGCCGGTGCTGGCTTGCTGGGCGCTATCGTCATGGCCCCGCAGCACCCAGCAAGGCGGGCGGCTGGGCAGCACCTAGCGCGTGGGCCTCCAGGGCGTGGGATGTCAGGGTCGCCTCCATCCAGCCGAGCGCGTCGGCCGCCTCCAGCAAGCCAAGTGCGCCGGCCAGCGGGCTGCACAAAGCACACACGGGGCCGCTTCCTTCGCTTGCTCTCGTGTTGTCACTGCGCGCGTGCAATGGGCGGGGGCGTGCGGCTGCGCGTGCCTATGAGTGGGCCGGATTTCTCGCAAGAAGAGAGGCAACGCGAATATGGGAAGGAAGAAAAAGATACAGAAAGGAAGAAAAAGATACGCGGGACAAAAAATCAGAATCCTAATAGAGATCAGAGTTGGACGAAAAAAATTGTGGCAAGAAATTTTACTTCTTTATTATTATTAGGTAGCATGCCCGTGCGTTGCTACGGGACAACAAAACTTTTGTACTAAAAACACACGGATTGCACGATAAGATAACACGGAGCCGCTCGACGTCGCCGGGAACAGGGACGACGATCGGCTACACCAGCGCTGCTCTGCACCCGACTCGCCATAGCCACACCTCGCCACCGCAATGGCATCCTAGCCACCCCGACCCCACGGTGAGCTCCCACGCCTGCCTCGCTCGCCGGTATGCGCTTGCCATGGCCGTCGTTGGGGTCTCTCCACCTCAGAGGCCCAGGGCCCGGCCTTTTCTCTGTCACGGTACACAACATGCACACACGAGCACAAGCACAGCCTTGCCGAGCCCACAGCGCTCGGGAACGCCGGTGCCAGCGAACCTCCTAACGCTCGCCATGGCCGGAGCACTACCACGGCAAGCTCCGTTCCGGCCATGACAAGCCGGTAGAGACCCTAAAGCCCCCACGGCGAGTTATATTTTAACTAAAATATGGGATTTTTCTCTTAAAATAATCAAATTTAAACACATCAAATTTAAACAACAGGAACCAAACCATGCCTCCAAATGACACAAGATGTGATTGACCTTCTAACCTTACTACTACTGCTACAAACAAGATTTTGGTTGCACTTAGATTTATTGGTAAAATAATGGATAACATCATAACAGATTTTATGCTGTAAATTGTAGTTACGAATGGCATATCCTGATTCTGCATATTTGAAGAAGTCTACTGATTAAATAAATTGGGTAAAACATAAAAACTGGCATTTAAGCCTTCAATAGAGGACAGATGGTCGCTGATCTAATTTGGTGACTTCCCAAGTGGTGCCATACAGTAAACCAATGCATGATTGGCAACTGCATAGTGCATACTGAAGAAATATGAAATGGAGGACACCTCGCTGGTGGAAAATGAAAAATACTACTACTGTCAGAATTTTGACTGAAACTGGCTGAAAAACACTGTTCTGGCTGAATTGTTGTGAGAGAAAACACTGTTCCGGCAGAAAAAAGAAGCCGAACAAGCCGAATATGGGGTAAGCCGAACGGGGCCAAGCAATTAACCATGGTGATGTCCCATTCCGTTCTAAAGAAAATTAAATAATTTGAGTCTGAACCCAACCAAGCTTTATTCAGAATCATTCATGTGGAATAAGCTTAGTAGCAAAATGATGTACAGATTTCAAGAACTAAAAAAACAGTGTACCACATCTGGACAGCTAGAACTGAATCACCCGTAGTGAGCAACAATTTCAGAGTTTCAGAGGGAGATAACAACCAAATAATCCAAGGCTGCCTAACATATGACCAAAAGCAAAAAAGAAACATATACAATAATAAAGGAGAGAGGCTCTACAACAGCTAAGACAATATAATTACAATGCATAATTCAGATAATTCAGTGGTGTGCGGGGTTTGCTAAAACTGCAGAGTACAGAAACATAAAATATGTAGGTCTGAAATCTCGATTCCACAATGTGCAAATTTGACATGAACAAATGATGAATAAAAATAAATAAATAAATAAATAGATTGCAAATAAAAAGATGGTGTTTTTTTATTGTCAAACTGAATCACTTGTATCAGTAGATATGCTTCACTGGGATATTTTGTGATGCAAAACTGAACCA